TCTTCATCAGTCATATCCAGTGATAGTATGCATATTGGAATTCTTGCTGCTGCAGCTCATGCTGCTGCAAACAACAGCCCATTCACTATATTCTACAATCCAAGGTACTGCACTATCTTGTTTATGGTGTTATTGCAAAATTCACAATTTATCTGGTCAGTGGAGAAGGTTAATTTATGAAGCCAAAGGCATGACCTAACAGATGTAATTGATTTAAATAGGGCAAGCCCTTCTGAGTTTGTGATTCCCTTCTCCAAGTATAATAAAGCATTGTACACGCAAGTGTCACTTGGCATGAGATTTAGAATGATGTTTGAGACTGAAGAGTCAGGAGTCCGCAGATACATGGGTACAATTACTGGTATCAGTGATATGGATCCAGTGCGCTGGAAAAATTCGCAGTGGCGCAATCTTCAGGTATTATTAGCTGCTTGTACATTTTGTATGATATGGAGGTTGTGTGAACTTAGTTGTGTTGTGTGTTCTCATGTAACAATTTGCGACGTTTTAAAAAACAGTCTGGTGGACTATTTTAGAGGCATGCGGTACTTGAGCTACATTTGTAGGACTTAGTTTCTTGGTTTTGCTATCTGTCTAGTGACATTCTAGAGTTGTATTGATTGTAGCTTCTCTGCCAAACATTGATTTTAATATCTGTTTGATACTTGGTTGCTATTAACTTTGGTTTTACTTGTCATTAGATTATTGTCTCTATACCCATTCAAGCGCATGCCTTACTTTTTTATGGAGATATTTCTCAATTGAATAAATCGAATGGCTAATTATTTAGCTTACCCAACCAATTCTAAATGGTGATAGGTTGGGTGGGATGAATCAACTGCAGGTGAACGACCAAGCAGAGTTTCGATTTGGGAGATTGAGCCTGTTGTAACTCCTTTCTACATATGTCCACCTCCATTTTTCAGACCAAAGTTCCCTAAGCAGCCAGGGATGCCAGGTAAATTCATCAACGACCCCATTTTTATATTGCACTATATAATAGTTTCACCAGCTGCAAATTTTTCTTATTGCCATTTACAATGATTCTTAGACATTTCAAATGGATACAAACTTACAGCCGTATTTTCTTCTATGTTTTTCCTGTCACTGTATTATAACCAGTGACAGTTGTGTTCAGCAAGAATGTTGATTGAATGTAAGAAAAGAAAACTATATTGCCTGGTACTCGATAAGTTTTTCCTATCTGGAATTTAAAATTAGACGGATTCAATTTTTTTTAGGCCCGGTACGTCCAAGTAAATCAACATGTCCCATGAAGTGGAGTGTTAAATAGACAAACATTTGTCCATTTACTCTAATACTATCCTTGATATTATTAATTTGCCATCTGTTTTCATTATAGATTGCTGTGTGTCTGTAAACTAAATCTTTTGCAGTGCTTTTGCAGATGACGATTCTGATATAGAGAATGCTTTTAAGAGAGCCATGCCTTGGCTTGGAGATGAATTTGGCATGAAGGATCCCCCAAGCTCAATCTTTCCTGGTTTGAGCTTAGTTCAATGGATGAGCATGCAGCAAAATAATCAGTTTCCAGCTGCTCAATCTGGATTATTCCCATCAATGGCTCCTTCCAATGCCTTGCATAATAACCTTAGCACTGATGATCCATCAAAGGTATTGAATTTTCAATCCCCTGGCATATCTCCTCCAAGTGTCCAACTTAACAAGACAAATCCACAAAACCAAGGCGGTCAGTTGCCTCAGCCACCAATGGCATGGGCTCAACAACAGCAGCTGCAACAATTATTGCAGACTCCTATTAACCAACAGCAGCCACCTTATCCCCAACAGCAGCAGCAGCAGCAGCCTATTTCCCAACAGCAGCAGCAGCATCAGCATTGGCCACAGCAACAGCCGCAGGTGCAGCCAACACAAATACGACAACCACCACCACAAATACAACAGCAGCAGCAGATTTTCCAACCACCTACACTTAATGACAGTGTGGTTGCCCCTAACCAAATTCCAAATCAGAATTTGCAGCAACCAGTTGTATACTCTCAGCTTCAGCAGCAGCAGTTAGTGGCAAGCAATACCCAATCCCAAAGCATACCTTCTGCTAATATAAGTTCATATCCGCTGACCTCTTTACCACAAGACTCACAGCTTCATCAACAAATGGAGCAACAATCTAACCTCTCACAGAGACAGCAGCAGCATGCTCAATTGCAACAGTCCCCTCTGCTGTTGATGCAGCAAAACCTATCACAGAGGGCACAGCCACAGCAACAATTGCAACAACTATCACAGTCCAGCCACTCTGAGCAACAGCTTCACTTTCAGTTACTACAGAAGTTGCAGCAGCATCAGCAGTTGCCCTCCCCTGCAAGCTCAGTTCTGCAGTCTCAGCAGCTACAGCAACAACATCAGCAGACCCACCAGCCACACCAGCAACTTCAGCAGTCTCCTCTGTCACAGAATCAGCAGCCACTTGGCAGTAACAGCTTCTCAACAGCCACACTTATGCGAACACAATCTTTTCCTATGAACCAGCCCCAAGGCTTGCAGAAACAACCTTTGGCAGTTAGAGCACATTCAAGCATTACAGATGGAGAAGCACCATCTTGTTCAACCTCACCTTCCACTAATAATTGCCAGATTTCTCCACAAAATTTCCTGAACAGAAACCAGCTAGCTCCAGCCATGTTGATGGGTGATTCAGCTATTGAGCCTGCAAGTAATCTTGTTCAAGATCTCCAAAACAAGTCTGAAATTCGTGTCAAGAATGAGTTTCCCAGCTCAAGAGGTCTAGACCACCTAAAATATAAAGGTGCTGTGACTGATCAATTGGAAGCTTCCTCTTCCGGAACATCATATTGCCTAGATGCTGGTAACATCCAGCAAAATTTCTCAGTCCCAACCTTTGGCTTGGATAGTGATGTCCAGTCACATCCTCGAAACAGTCTTCCTTTTGCATCTAATATTGATGCTTTGGCACCCGATACTTTATTGTCAAGGGGATATGACTCTCAAAAGGATCTTCAGAACTTGCTTGCTAATTATGGTGGTACTACACGAGATATCGAGACAGAGTTGTCCACAGCTGCAATTAGCTCCCAGTCATTTGCTGTGCCAAACATACCTTTCAAGCCTAGTTGTTCGAATGACGTTGCCATCAATGATACTGGGGTTTTGAACAATGGATTGTGGACTAACCAGACCAACCAGACTCAACGGATGCGTACATATACAAAGGTTTGTCATTCTGCCTGTTCCCTCTCTTTTAATCTCTCGAGAAGCTCTCAGCTTAACAGACTGAAAAATCTCACCTAGAAAAAAAAAATCAATGTTTGTATGTGTTATTGATTATTAGCAGCTTACAATCCTTTTCTCTGAGGAGAAATCAACTCTTTAGTTATTTATTCTTTAACTAGTAACTGGTAAATATTCTTCAACAAATATTATTCCACTGTAGATAATTTTCCTTGCTTCTGAGTAAATATCCTAACACTGGTTCAAATTCATACAGGTCCAAAAGCGTGGCTCAGTTGGAAGATCTATTGATGTCACTCGTTATAAAGGTTATAACGAGCTTAGACATGATCTTGCCCGAATGTTTGGCATTGAAGGGCAACTAGAAGATCCACAAAGTTCAGACTGGAAACTGGTTTACGTTGATCATGAAAATGACATATTACTTGTTGGAGATGATCCTTGGGAGTGAGTCATGGACCTCAGTGCTTTATAACATTATTTCTTCTCTGTCCTTTATGACCTGTTATAACTCTCAAATATGCATTTTGAAATTGCTCTCAGGGAGTTCGTAAGCTGTGTTCAGAGCATAAAGATACTGTCATCTGCTGAAGTGCAACAGATGAGCTTGGATGGAGATCTTGGTAATGTGCCTGTTCCCAATCAAGCTTGTAGTGGCACTAACAGTGGAAATGTCTGGAGGGGGCAGTATGATGATAATTCAGCTGCCTCATTTAACAGATAAATGGGTCAGGTGGAGTATCTGAGCTAAATTTGAATTCCCTTGATGGTTAAACCCGTTTTTGCCCTCAGCAGCTGTCCCGGGCGTTCTGTCAATGATTTTTAAGTTGTGTAGCAAAGGAAAATGTGACTGGAATTACATTATCTTGCTGCAGGTAGTCGAGCTCCTGCCACAGATGTGGTGCTAGGTGCTAGAGCTGTGGATTGTCCAACAGCAATCCCCCAAATACTGTCCCCTTTGTTGCAACTTTTGCCTTCAGATGGTAGTATTCCTAGTAGTTCAGCTTTGGATTACATCCGGGAGAGTGGACAGGCGGCAAAGGATCCATGAAAGCATCTTGCGAATCTAGTGCCGATTAACACATTTTCTCTAGTAAATGCTATGTCCATTAACAATCGCTAATTACCCGCTATTCCACATCTTGTTAATAGAACAGCACTTTCTACCCCTTAGCGTTAGCTTTGTGGCCTCTCGTAGGTGAAATTCACGTGCATGAACTAGTGATATAAACTTTGATATGTTGTAGAAATGACAAGCCATATACCCGGGATCAGCTGAGGTAATTTCCAAAATCTATTTTTATTTAATTTTATGATAATGAGAATTTCTATTTGGAAGAATTTCGGCAATTTCTTCTCGCAATAATGATAATTTATATTTTTTTATATAAATTAATTGACAATATCACCGTTAAAATCCAAATCTATCTTGAAAAAAATAAAGTTTTTAATGTAAAAAGAGTTGGTAAGGTTAGATAACTAAAACGGGAACAGCCTTCTTTTTTACGACTATCTCCCCCCCCCCTGTTTTAGTTATTTTGTATGATGTCTACTATAATGCATAATGATAGTGTCCGTCACACGGATCAAAGCTAAGTGCACTTTTAAGCATATATGAATCTTGTATTGAACCAGCAGCGCCTTCGACTAAAAGCCGCCCAGTTCTGTTGTGATTTAACTTCATCTTTAGGGAACAGCAGGGTTGGATCCTTAACACAAATGCCCAATTATTACTCACACATGATAGAATCAGTCCCCACTGGATGAGATTAAAACTGCTTTAACCAGTGAATATAGTCTATTATTATCATCATCCCTATCTTTCTTTGACGAAATCCACCCCCCACCCACTGGGGGTGTCAGCCAGAAATCTTAGTGAGGATTTGCGCCACAAATTGATTCAAACAATCCAGCAGTTCAAATTACATTCAAAGACTACAATCACAATCCGTATGCCCTAAGGCATCTCAGCCACAAAACAGTAACACATGTAGAGAATACTGACAACTAAGAGAGTATAGCCATTACATCGGAAGCTTTCAATGCGATGTAGTTAGCACCGTCACTCCCTTTGAAGTCATTCCCAGCATACTTGGAATACAAAACTGTGCTTCCTGGGGACACAGATAGTGCCTTCCTGTTACCTTCCTCGTCAAGTGGTCCAGGTCCAACTGCTATCACCTGTTAATCAAAAAGCAGTATAAACATCACAACCGATGAACATTTCCAGTAATGCATGTGAGAAATGTAAGAAACACTTTATCTCACTGTGCCAATAGAAGGTTTCTCTTTAGTTGCCTCTGTCAGCAACAAGCCTCCAGCAGTTTTCTCCTCTGCCTCAGCAACCTACAATCAAATCCCAATAACAAATTAAAGTGAAACTTCAAGTTCCCATACAACCATGAAGCATGAACAAGATTGTATTTATTGCTAACATGCCATGCCATCATGTTCAAGACACCCAAAAAGGCAGCATGAGGTGAAAAAAGGGAATTAATGATTCAAGATCAATTACTTCAAGACTAAAATCAACCAGCCGCCAAAGACAAGCAGCATCCCATTGACAAAATATACTAATCAATATGCGCCAACCAATGGATAGTGGAGGGTAATGTACCTTTATGAATACTCTATCATTCAGTGGCTTAAGATCCTTGATATCATCTGTCTCAAGGATGCCGATAATATCATCCTCCTTTAGTATAAGATGACTTGAGCCATCGAACTCCACCTCAGTCCCAGCATACTTGGAATATACAACCCGGGCACCGGTCTTTAAAAGCAAAGCACCAACCAACCCAATAATTCAGTAGCATATTATGAATGAATATAAGAGAATTAGAAATCATCTAATGGGCAAAAAAATGACCTTCACAGAAATATCCAGCTTGGTCTTCTCAATCAACTTCCCTTCTCCAACAGCAACCACCTCACCAGCTTGAGGCTTTGTTTGGGCAGAAGATGGAAGTAAGATGCCACCCTCAGACTTCTCCTCAACAGTCTTGATCTTCACCAGCACTCTATCACCCAAGGGCTTAATAGATGTGTACTACAGGAATGAAGTACCATCAAATCAGACAAGCCATTAAAAGCATTGAATTAAAACCCAACAAGAATCAAATTAAACCAAATGAAATCAACCTTCTGTGGATGCAATCGATAACAAAAGAAAAAGAAAAAGAAAACCCAAAATAATGTATGAGAAAATACTCTAAACAAATCTAACACCCAGCAAATCCAAAAACAACACATTTTAATTCCTAATTTAAACCATTTTATACAACACAGCACGCTAAGCATACATTCAGCACTTTAAAAGGAAAAACAAAAGCAATTGGTTGGTAAAGAGAATTATTTTTACCTTGGGAGCGACAACAGTGGCAGCTTTAACTACCAAGCACCGAAAAGGGCGTTGAGAGAGAGCAAAGCCACCAGCTGGTTTAAAAGACGCAAACTTAACATTAGAAGCTCTTAATCCTTCAAAGGCAGACAAGTTCCTTGCTGAAACCGAAATTGAGGATGCTGTCAACTGTGCTGTTGCCATTTTATTTTTTTTCTTTGGCCACTAATCAATCAAACAAAAACAAAATCAGATTCATCATACAGCAGTTAATGAAATCTTGAACAAGGCATAAGAGAAACATAAGTACCCAGTTCTGGAAATGCTTGAAAGTTTGAGGAAAGCAGATAAAACCCTAGCTTGCAAGAGTGATGAGGTGATGTTTTCGAGTGGGTTTTATGAGATGATAGGAGAGACTTCTAGAATTATATTTGTTGGAGTGTTTTTGTCTCCTAACTCACGCTCTTCTCAACCCGCAACTGGGTCGAGCTCTTAAAACCATTGATATTAAACCTGCTTTGGGGTGACCCGATCTGGGAGCTGGATACAGGTTTTATGGGTCAATTTAAATTAATTTAGATGAATGTAAAAAAATTAAAAAATATATATTTAAAATTTTAATATTTTATATAAAAAATTAAAAAAATCTATATGAATATAGGTTATATATATTATAAATAATAAAATTTTAAAAAATATTTTAAAAAGTTTTCTATCTCATATTTAAAATATATAACTTTTTTTTTGAATATATATATATATTAAAAAGTTTTAAATCTCATATTAAAAAAATATAACTTTTTTCAAATTATATATTAAAAAATAATTTTTTCATTATGAACATAAAATGTATATATATTATAAGGTTTTAAATTTTACATTTAAAAAATAATTTTTTTAGGAAAGAGTAATATATACTAAAAAATTTCAAATTTCACATTGAAAAAAATATTATATTATCCTTTTAAATTGAAGCATTTAAATCAAAATATTTTTTATTTCACATTAAAAATATATAACTTTTTTTCTCGTGAACATAAAGTATATATATAAAAAGACTTCAAATTCCATATTGAAAAAATAATTTTTTTTAAGAACTGAAAGTATATATATTAAAAGGTTTTAAATTTCATATTAAAAAATATAATTTTTTTATGTGAATATATAATATATATACGAAAGGATTTTAAATTCTATATTTAAAAAATAATTTTTTTTTTAATAACATAATATATATATATATTAAAGAATTTCAAATTTTATATTGAAAAGATTATTTTGAATATCAATACTTTAAAACTATATGAAAATATTAATTTTAAATTAAAAAATTAATTTTTTAAAAATACAGTTTCAAACCATTTCTAAAAAAGTTTGATTTTTCTAAATTCTAGCATTTAATTCCGGCTATCCTCTTTATTTTTTTAGCTAAAAATGCATTTTAAATCCTTTCTCTCTAAAATAATAAAAAAAATCATAAATATTTTATTATTATTTTTTAGATAAATCAATAATTAAAAAAAAAAAAACCTCAATTGCTTCCAGTCATCCAGTGCCATAACTTCATACAATTCACATAATGCAGGGTTCCTAAAAACATGAACTATTTTTCCAGTAGACGATCCCTGCAGCCATCAAAATCTATTAGCACAAGAGAAGCCTTGTTATGATCCAATAATGTTATTTATCAACCAAAACCACCATTTTCACCGCCAGAATTGCTAGCAGTTAATACCTCTGCAGAACACCAATTTCTTATGGAGGCTGGAACTCCAATATATCATACACAAAATCAGTTGCTAGAAAAAATAATTGGAAAAAACAACAAAAACTCAAAACCTATATCCCATCTCTAATGCAAATCTCCTTTTTATGCCCATTTCAAACCTCAGAAGAGCCTGCCTGAGCGCTGCAGTGCTCGCTACGCCCATTAAAGAGTAAGGATGCCATGTGATAAAAATACCAAGGCTAGCTATTGTAGCTAAGGAGCTCCATTAGAGAGAGAGCAAGGATGTAGATGCTAAGCTCTGCTATCGCTACAGTAATTTTCAATTTTATGATATTTTTTAATTAATATAGGTGTTGAAATTAGCTTATATATTTCTTGATTAATCCCATAGATCGTAAGCTAACAATTACATCATTTTATCTCTTCTTCAACTGTACTAACCCCAAACCCATGGAGCTACTCGTTAGGTTTGTCCGTTGAAAACCCTAAACTTCAATTATTTTTTTCCCAGTTCAGTACAATACTCTCTGTAACGAGGAAGAGAAGGTTGGCAGCCAACCTAGCAGGTGGGGGGAGATATGAATGGTTGGCTTCCTTTCAAAAAATAAAAAAATAAATAAAAAGCTGCTTATAAAAGAATCAAATTGAAAGGAATGCAGTGTTAAAGGGTGGCAGAGCTAGAAGGCAGGTTTCATCGAATTTGAAAAAGGCAATTCCCCTTAGAGGAGGTCGTAGCCTTTATTTACGAGGAGCACACAAACGACGAGGAATGAATTTATGTTGATCTTAAAAGGGATAACAATCACGAAAGGCTTAAATTCCAGGGCAGCTAATGTGCTTAGGTCCTCGGGCAACATTTCTTCCAGCCTGCGACAAGATATTGAGTCGAGCAGCCGTAATTATCAGACCCAATCCAGGACTGATTTGGTTAAGAAATTGAATTTTAGGTTACATGAATTAATAAATATTAACTCGAAAAATTAACAAAAATATTTAAAGTTTTAAATTTTTATATAAAAAATTAAAAAATAATTCATATGAAAATAGAATATACATGTTATAAATAATAAAATTTAAAAGATTTTTTTATTTTATATTAAAAAAATAACTTTTTTTTCTTGTGAATATATAGTATATATACTAAAGAGCTTCAAATCCCACATTAAAAAAAATAAAATATTCTTCTAGTATTTATTTGATAAATTTTGAAAAGGATTAATAACCAACTAAAAAATATATAAAAAAAGAGAGGTCTCTGGATAGGAAAAAAACACATTTAAAAAAAAATGAGTCTTAATCAAGTTTTGTTGGGTCGCCTAGGTCACAGATCAACTAAGTTTTATCAAGTTTTTGCTCATCTTGATTTTTTATTTTATTTGAACTAGTTCAGCTACTTAGTTTACTGGGTCCCACATCAATTCGTTGTACCAGTTCAAGTTTTTTTGTAGTTTTTGGGAAAGTTGCAATATTAGTTTGATAATAAAGTTGCAATATTAGTTGGTTTTATGGAAAAATTATAATATTGCAATGGCTTTTTAGTAATTAAATGAAAAATAATGGTAATTATGTAAATAATAAGATATTTGTGTTGACTTTAAAAAAAAATGTTAAATGTTAGCATAAGTATAAAATTTTAAAAAATTATAATATTGCAATGGCTCTTTAGTAATTAAATGTTAAATGTTAGCATACTTATAAAATTTAGGAAATAAAGTTAATTGTTTTCTAAAATAAATTATCAATTAACATCAAACTTTATTTTATTTTGATTTCCATTAAAATTTTATGGAAAAACTAGTGGGACATAAATTCAAAGTTCTAAATTTAGTTTTTGTTCAGGTAAAATAACTTATTTGAAAGATTTTTTTTCAAAAGAATTTATTTTTCATTGTTTAATTAAGTTAATGAAAACCATTTGAAAATAATTATTTGCTATTTGATATGAATGAAAAGATAATTGTTATAAAGGAAAAGATTATTATTAATTAATTATAAGGTTTATGGTTTATAACAAATTTCATGCATGTTTAGAGTCAAATTTAATAACAAATTAATGATAAGATATATGATTTAATAATAAATTTCATTCAACATGTCTTACTAATATCTTACTTGCATAACAAAACAAGTTTCTAAATTATTTGAATTTTTTTCTTATATAATCAATTATGTTTAGAGTCATTCTATATAGAGGTTGTCAATATAACTTAAATCCAAATTTAAGTGTTAAAGGATATTTCATGATAATCCCATGAAATACACACTTAGTAATGCTATTAGTTCTTCTTAAAGTTATTATATTATATTTGCACTCATAAAGGTTAGTTTAGTCTTGTCCTCAATTTCTAAACTAATTTTAATTAACATATCATAAACTTTAACATCTTCATTATCTATTTTTGGTGGTTTTAAAAAAAGATTTATCATATCAAGTAATACCAATTTATGGTTTTGATCTAACTTTATTATTATTATTTTAAGTTCTATTTTGTTGTCTAATTTGTTAAAGCATCATTAAAAGCTTCAAAACATGATATTAAGTTCAAATAACTAATTTGATATCATGTTTCATACTTTAGGTCATCTTATTCCTATTATAGATTATTTAGCCTCTAAAAATTTATTATAGTCACTCTATGCATGCTACCTTTTAGCTAATAACGAAGTCAATATGTCACTTATGTTATTTATACTTATAAAATTGATTGAATCAACATTATTATTGTCATCCTTAAATTAACCACAAATATTTTATAATTTTTTAGACTACTTCAATTGATTCATTCAGGAATAAAACATTAAAGCTTAATATAAAGATAATAGCACTCACAAAGTAGTATATATCCAATCTCCCTCAAATATAATGTTGTAGCTTGTCTTTATTTCTACTATAAAGAAAGTCATGCTAGAGGTCCTAGACCTAATAATAAGGTATGCCTATAACAACCTCATGGTATTTTTTGTGCCCTTGTAAAATATATTATGCTCAATAATAAGATTATGTCAATCTTATAATAACTAACATTTGTGATCAAGGACTTACACATAATATTTAGTGAGCTAACAATCTTAATTGAGACCTTTTGCACTAGTACTTTATTGAAGTTATTTGTAATCCACGTAGGTTTTGAATAACAATTTATAGCCAATATTGACTTATAAAAAGTGAGTTATGGTTGTTGTTTAACTATCAATTTAGATTAGTTAACTTTAACAATTTATGCTCTTTTTTTTTGTAATGTTTTCATAGTTATTATTACCTTTATTTAACTTTATTTAAAAAAAATTTGAAAAAAACCCCCTAGCCTTTAAAAAACCTAAAACTAGTTGCTAGCTGCCTTTTTTTTTTTCTCTCTAGTTCACTACCATAACTCATCCCCACAACTTCTCCTTACCAAACCATTGCCTCTTCCAACATGATAACACTACGTAACCCTCATCACTAATCCAAAACTCCACACCATTCACATCTACTTCCCTCTTATTGCCAAGACAACTATAATCATTATGACCCATCTCATAAACAACTTTAACCATAATTGAGACCCATAATTAATATTGTCAAGCTAGCAACCATATCCACCAGTCACAAAAACCCAGCACCAGTTGTAACCAAGTTTAGCCAAAGCCTTTCCCCACGATAATATTTTCTCTTAAAAAACCTAAAACCAACCTCTTTTATTGTGAGCGATGTCAGTAGTCCTTACCTAGAATATTAGCCTCTACCATGCCTCTC